ATGTTGCGGGTATATACCAAAGTTTCACAACACGCATATACATAAAGTATACGTACAATATGCATAAAATACACAATCGAGATTCACGTAATTCAAGTCCACGATACCACATATAGATAAAATATACTTTAAATATACACTCGAGTTTCACTCGTTTCTCAAAGTTGATTTCAAAACCCACATATACATAAAATATACTTAAGATATACACTTGAGATATTTTCACGAGCAGATCGTTTCTCACGGGCATAACCCATATATACATAAAATATATCTAAGATATATATCTAAAATATACCTCAAATATACCCAGTTTTTTTTTTTTTGGTTCAAATTTGATCGTTTTTCACGTTACTCGCGAAAGAAAAATTTATCGTGAGATTTTTCCCATAATATCTGCGCGATTTTTGTGGGTTATTGATTTCATAATATCTACAAGATTTTTCTCTTTTTCTTTTTTATTTGGTAACTAGATGCAAATCAAGCGAAAAAAAAGGTGGAAGTTAGTATGAAAAGAGGGATGGAGTTTTTTTTTTTTTTTCCTGGTTACCCTCCACAAATCACGCAACCCACATTTGGGATGGAGGAAGTTACAATTTGTAACTAATTTTTAGGCAATCAAATAATTAAAGTTGGTTGATTAGGTATAGGAAAATACTACAATCCCGTAACGGGACCATTCCCTCATATCAAACTCCAATAAAAAAACTAACACATGTAAGAGTCCATATAAAAACTACCACATCTAAGAGTCCATATAAAAACTAACATTTCTAATGGTTTATATTGATTTGAGGGAATCATTCCCTCACGGGATTGTAGTGTTTCCCTTAGGTATATACCAAATTATTTGTTGTAGGAAAGTAAATTTGAAAATACTTTATTTCCATGTAGTATGCATAAAATTTTCCCATTATCTATACTTATATTAAAAGGAAACCTATTTACTAAATATAGTAGGTAGAAAAGTCAACTTTAATTAATGAACTTCTAATTTTATCAAGTAGTCATTAATGCATTTATAATTTTAATCAAGTTTCCTATTTTACATATTGTTTTTACTCCTTCTTATCTTGACATAACAAATTCCATAAAATGGGGTGAGCAAAAACAATCAAAATTCTGTTTCTAGAAACTACAAATCAATATTACAATTTTGAATAATACACTAACAAATTATAATATATTTTTATAAAACTTATACAAAACTATTAAAAAAACTTGGTTCGTATATTTGTATGCATATTTATATTTTTTTAATATTATCTTTGTGTTAAAAAAAACTATTTAACACTATTCTTTTTTATTATATAATAAAATAATAATTAAATATTATATGATGACCAAGAATAAATAAAACTGTTACTTTTTCTTATATCAAGTGATAAATTTATATACTGAAATTAAAGTTTTATTATTATAAATATTTTAGTGAAATAATATATTAATTATTTTACAAGCTAGCCCTAACATATTCATATTTAATGTTTTGGCTAAAAAACAATGCTGGTTAAAAGATATGAAAAAAAGCTTATAACCTTATTGTTTTTTAGACTTAACGTTGATTAAAAGAGGTAGAAAATAGATAATAACACTATTACTTTTAAGATTTAAACGGCCAAAATTGTTAAAATAACTCATTTAATATCTATGTTCCGTGCATCGCACGGGGTACGTACTAGTTTTTCTTCACGTCTTACAACTTTTTTTGTACAACATTCAATGACAACATGATGTGACATAATGTGGGTGGTTGAGATACAATTAAATGTATGATTAAAATTTTATTTAATGATACTTTTAACTAAGTTGTCAACCAATGTGGTAAACTAAAATTGTACATGTAGCATTGCCCTTTTCTAAATTCTAGGTTTATAGGAGGCAGTTACGTAATTGCAGAGTCTAACACAATTATTTCGGTTGAACTGGGCCTTTTAATTGGGCCTTTTAATTGAAAAAACACAGCCCATTACCAAAGTTTTTAGTTCATAAGGTACACAAAGGAAAATAAGAAAATAGGAAAAACTGTAGAATTAAAGACACTCTATACCCTTTTTAAAATATTAATTGTTGTTGCAACAGTAAATGAGTGTTTCCGTAATTACTCCATTTTATTACTATAATTTATATTTAAAAATTCTTAATTTCATTTGTTAACCGTTTGTATTTATCTCTTAATTTTATCTCTCTTCTTTTACACGATTTGTTCCCTCTTTCTTTTTCCAATCTTTTTCTTTTCTTTTCCTTATTTCAGAGTTTGTTCTCTTTTTTATTTCATAGTTTTCCTTCTTCCGTTTTTTTTCTTCCCAGATTTTTTCTTCCCTCATATACACATATAAACATGTTGCTTCTTTTTTTTTTTTTTAAATTACTTCTTTTTCTTCTTCAAATTTTTTCTCTTACACGCACGCACATACTCCCATATACATACTCTCACACACATACACGACGGGTTTTGCTGCAAGCGGGAACTGGACGACCACGACCGGTAATTCTATTTTGCAGAGTAGTCTATTTTATTTTCGATTCCTAATTTTTGACATCAATAAAATATCCACAAACAACAATAAACAACTGCTGATGATGGATATTTTATTGTTTATTGATAGTTGTTTTTATGTTGCTTGAGAGATGTTTTATTGTTGTTTGTGGTCACTAATAGTTGTTTTTATGTTTCTTGAAAGACGTTTTATTTGTTGTTTGTGGTCACGTATCTTTTTTATACTATGTATTATTAATTTTTGTAAGTCACAAGAACAATCATTTGTGTTGTTTTTTAGTTAAACTAATTGTTATGTATGTATATAATCAATTGATTATTTTTTTCCTTGTAGGCATGATGAAGAAGAAGAAATAAGAAGCAGAAAAAGAGAAAAAGAACGTGGGAAAGAGAAGAGAGAAGATAGAGAGAGGAGAAGAGAGAGAAAGAAAAAAGATAATGGAAGGGGAGTAGAAGAAGAAAGAGAATGGAAACAGATAATGATGAACAGTTTTATTTTGATTGTCTTTCAAATGTTTCAAAAACAAGTATTTATGGAAATCATTGTAGGTTAATAGTTTTGTGGAATATATTTTTTTGGCGAGGTCGGTTATGTACATTAGCCAAAAACTGTAGGGTGCACCTCATGCCAAAATGACACCACCCCAAACTCCTGCTTATTAAATAGAGAGGGATAAAAAGTTGAAAGTAAATAGAAGTTGAATTTTATAAAGAAAAATATTAAAAAGTAAAATAGCCTAAATTCAGTCATTTTTCTCTCACAGTTGCAAAGTCACCAGTTGTAGGTACAGTACGGTGATAATTTTACTATAGTCACTGCTTTTTACTAAATTTACAAAGAAATATATAAGAACCCTTGTTAAAACAGTGAAAAAAAATTATATAGAGGATGAAAGATTATACATGAAATAATACAACACATATGCAACATTGAGAGGAAATCATTAACTACGAACATGGATACATAGTTAAGAGACAGAGGGAGACGCAACGAGATCCATCAAAGTCGAACAAAAGCCAATTATTTTGTATTAAAACATAAAGAAAAGAAAAACCAAAAGTGGAGTCAGGAAGTGTCTGCTTTTGCTAAACCACCTAAGGGAAACTTAATGACAGAAGGTAGTTAGCTGTTGGGTGTTGGCTGGTTGTGAGGCTCTGATGGCTGCTTGGGGGCAGAGGGCCCACCATTCATCCTCGCACGAGCCTCTGCAAACATCTTTTGCTGCTCCGCAAGTGCTTCCTCTTCCGTCATCTCTGCTACATTGCTCCATTTTCCACCTCTCATTGTGTCCTGTACAATTTTTTTTTTTTTTAAAAAAAAAGAAAAAGTTCCGCCACAAACATTTACCAAGGACCATTATGCCTAATCAAAGCTCGTGAAAACATGTAAAGAACAAAAAAATTGACCACTTTACCATAGTCTCCAGCCTGTGCTGCTCATATGCAGCATATACTTCTTCAATATACTCCGCAAATCCAAGAACCTGATTGATCACGACCGGAAAAAAATTAAGTTTCATTGCATGGGTAAACACGACAGGAAGTCGGGCAAGAAAAGAGAATACTTTGTCTGTACATAGTTGTAATTGACTTCAGGTTAGATGAAAAAAAAATTGCCAATACCATCCAAAAGGTAGTTAAACAGGTCTTATTCTGGCTCGAATACTTATCAAGTTCAGCAAAGCAAAAAAGGAGAAATGAATACAAGATTAATTGACTGATGGTTTATAAGATCATTAAGGCAGACAAAAATAGACAAACCTTTTTTTTTAAGAAATATTTAAGCACCATAAAAGATCTCATCAACTTAACCATAACATCCCGACACTCGTGTTTTTCCATGAAATCAGAATTGAATACATAGTCTGTCACTGTTATTAGTGAAATGTCACAAGATAAAATCATCAGAATATTTTATAAAGTTGGATTGAAATGCCACTCCAACTGCATGTATTTATGGCTCAAGTCAAATGAATGTTTTATGCTATCTGCCTTTTTCCAGACTACCGAAACAACCACCTCTATGGTTTGCCAACAGTAAAGCTATCTCCTCACAGGATTGTTTCAACAAGAAAAAATGATTCAAGTCCTTTAAAACACCAACTTAATGCAATAATGCACATAAAATTGACACAACGCTAAAATATTGCATTAAACACAAGTAACGTGAGAAGTGTATGGATAACTAGTC